AGCATTCATGGCTTCGGTAATCCCCGCATTCTTTATTTCATATTTAAATTGTGCTTGCAGACTTTCCCATAAGGTGCTGCCTCACTCAGCAACATAATGGACCAGGAGACAATTGCAGCCTGAGAGGTGTTGCCTTTGCAACATGCTCTCATAATCTTTGCCAATGGAAATGTTACACGAGTAATCCCTATTCTTTAGTATACAAATACCTTTGATCCTTTACAATCTAGTTCTTGTATCTGTTGTACATGTCTTGTGAAAGATACACACATAGAGAATTAACATTCTATGAAATCATAGGATCATTGTTCACACAAGCACATGCATGGACATGTAATATGGAAATATCTGAATGTTCATTTAGAGCACTATTAAATTATACATAATTTATTGTGCACAGTTCACAGTTAATGTGAAATATGCAAATAATAGGAGAGATCACCTAATGTCCTTAGATCTTTTTGAGATATCTCTTACTCATATCTTTTGCACTAAATCATTAGTAGAGATTTCTAAAGAAAATTGATCAACAAGAAACAAATCTTATGGAACCTATTTCAAGTATATGTTAAATGACATCAAAGGACATTATATATTAGTATAGCTAGTTTTAGTTGTTTTAGAATCAAGAAGTAGAAGTATTCAAGTAAACCTTCAATAGCGTGATACCAAGCATGAATTTATCATGATGGAGCACCCCTCGTCTGATAAAGAATTGTTTCTTGGATTTCATTACCATCTGAAGCATGGTGAGTCTGTGGGTGCGGATGTGATCAAATAATATAAATGTTTGTTTGTCCATTTGCATGTGTGTGAAACAGGGAATAAAAGAAATAGGATTTTTTATTAACATGGCAGGCCAGTCTCACACGCTTTGATGTGTCCATAGACCACAATACACTTCCAATGGAGGAAATCTGTGATCCTAGCTAGGGGTCACTGTGACAGAGAACTTGCCAATGTGAGAGGCAACTAAGGCATGTTGAGATGGGTACCAGAGGACCCAGATACCGCCAGAAGGTCCCATTGCATCCAGAGCTAACCACCACTGGCAGGGGAAAACCTCAAATATTCCGAATTTGGGAGAGAGAGGGAGAAGGAAGCTTGGTTGGTTTCCACCAAAACAAGAAGAGACGGAGAATACGGTGAAACAAATTGACGAATATTTTGCCGTTTTCCTGGGTGGCCCAAACCCCTTATATTCCTTAGTGGGATGTTTATTTCATTCTCGTATTATAATTGAAAGATAGAGTGATTTAGTTCGTGCTTTTGATCTGGTTGCATTTGCTGGATGGAATAGCACTTTGATTTGATGTGCATGCGTGGTGTTTCAGAATGCTAGATTCCCTGGATTGGATCCATCGGTCTCTGATCGAGTTAAGAACCAGACATGGGTATTGTCTTTTTTGTATTGTATTTGGTGAATTGCAGATTTTTAGCTAGATTAGGCATAGGCTCAAAAGATTTGAAATGTTTAGGTTTTAGGTTATTCACTAAATTGCTTTTGTGCCTTTTCTTCTTTTTAGGCTGTGAAGTCCGATCACATAATTGATGTCATTCAGAAATTAGGTTCACCGCTCACTAAGGTACAAGTTCATGTTGAAATCCATTGGCTTTCGAAAATCGTATTCTTGTGCGTAGATGCAGGAGGGATGGAAAGAAAAATTAATCTCCAGTCACTACTTTGTTAGTATAACTGCCTTAGTTTTTCATCTCTACAATGACAAATGATGCAAATATGGTAAAAATCAGGGCATGGTATCTGCCATCATGACAATTCTATGCTTTATAGTTTATTTCACAAAATTTTGAGAATTGGGGTTTGACAATCTCTGTCTTCTTTTTTCTTACAGTGCTGATGGAAGAAATCTTGGGCTCCCCCAATTACCAGGTCAAGGATGCTCTTTCATAGCTTTCGATCAAACACATACAAACTGAGCTTTATGGAGAGTCCCTCTGGGATTAAGGTGGAGTTTCTTTCTATTATATGCATTCTTCAGTTTTTATTTGCATTAACA